TTGTGTTTCTTAGTGTGCTGGCTAATGATGGTTTTTCATGTTGTGAATATGTTCACCAGAAGCCTACATATGCTCAAACACTCAAACATGCTTGCTGAGGGAATAAAGTCAAGTCTTGGAGGTGTTAGAAATTATGTTCAGGGTTCACGGAGCCAGGAAGTAGCTGAACCCACACCTCAGTTGCTAGAGGCCACATCCCTGCCTGACACTCCTACTCCAGGGCTACTCTTCCTTGTCCAGCTTTTACGACCTACCTGGACACAATGACAAATACTTGATGGAGCTCTGAATCTCCTAGGAATATCTGGCATAGCCTTTGAATGGGGACCGGAACCTTCTGTTTCCTGCCTTCTGAGAAAACAGACCTCCCAGTCAAGTTCCCTTTAAGGGTGGATGTCTCCCTGCCATGCAGCCCTTCATTCTCCCCTTCCCCTTCTGCCAACTAGGGTCCCTTCACAGTCTTGCCAAACTGCTACTTTAACTCATGCCAGGTAGTGGTGACTGGGATGAGAAAAGCAGAATGGGGCTGGGAACTCACGTGGCTTTGGAGCAGAGATCTAAAAAAGGTGAGAGATCTTTTCTGGTACAGTGTCCAGAAGCTGTGAAGGGATGAGCTGGGCGAGCTTCAGGAACAGCACAGAGCAGAGCAACTACAGAGTCATATATAGGGGGCAATGCTGACAATCAGTGAGAGAAGCCAGGGTACATAGCTTTGTAGCACATCAATACCAAAAGACCTTTTTGGTGTTTTTTCTGGATAACATAACAAAACATTGAAAGGTGTTTAGAAAAAAATGCATATATGTAGGAAAGGTAGGAGGGATTATTTATTTGCCACTGTGCTAAAGTGATCTGTAAGATATAAAACCAGAAACATGGAGACCCATCAGGGAACACACACGAGTATCCTGGTGAAAGAGGATGGGCTTGGAAAAGACTGTGGTGCCAAAGGGTCGTGGCTCAAATCTTGAAGTATGGTTTGAAGGTAGAGAGGACAGGACTTGAAAGTGAATTAGTTTGAGAAGAATCTAATACAACCCTAAAGGGTTTTGGCTGAGCAATTGGACAGTTATGTCGTCATGAGCTGAACAGAGGAGAGACATGTTATCAAGGGGTGGGATCTGGCTGGAGTTGGAAGTGTGAATGTCACCTGTGTGCAGACCACAAAGAAAGCAATGGACTCCTGAGGAGATGTGGTAGGGCCCCCTGGTAGATGGAGCCCTGAGCTCACACTGTGGAGTCAGAGTTAGGGGGGGATGAGGAGGAGGTGGAGGAGGAACTGGTAGACTATGGACAGGAAAGCACAGAAGGATGTCTCAATAATTGGCTTCATAAAGCAAATTCATCACCATCTTGCTCCTAGACAACAGGGACAATAATTCTGTCCCTGGCAGGTGTGAAGGGCCTGCCAGGAACCAGGAGGCAGAGAATACTCAGAAGGTGACTCAGGACAGCCAGACTCAATTCACAGGCAAGAGAACCCAGAGTTTTGCTTTCCTAGAGAATAGGCTTATTGCCTCTTCTCTCAATCTTCTACTCACCCATAGCAAGTTCTTTCTTATCATATTCCCTGTGTATGCTATCAGTGCTTTTGATATTAACCACTTATCTTGCCTTTCAGATGCATTTCTCCTACCCCAATTTTATGGATGAGAACATGAGATGAAATAACATGAACTCCCAAAACTAGAAACTCAAACCCAGTTTTCTTTCACTCTGAAGTCTATCTTCGTCCTTGCTGGGATTTCTTCTCTCATTCACTCATGCAATGTTTATGGAAGACATGTACATCTTTGGTGAGTCTTGCACTGAGTGCCAGCACTATGCTGGTGGGCCAAAGGGACCTGAGCTGTACAATATCACACACAGTTCCAAGAACATTATGAAAACTTTCCCTGGATAGTCCAGATCCAACCCTCCAGGTCCCAAATCAGCCATTTTAGAGAATCTCCCATACTTCCTGAGTCCTGACTTGAATGGACTGCAATAACTATTTTCTTGTATATGTTTGTTGTATGACATATTTATTGAGAAAGACATTCAAGTTGTGCATAGAGACATTATGAAAACCAAGATACCAGAGGGTGGTTGGGTTTGTACTTGTGTGGGAATTTTAACCCCTAACACTTTATATCTCTTGCTTATTCTGCCAAAAGCAATTTAGGGGGGAAGTTATGAAAGAAGGTGGATGGGGAGGTGGCCAAGTGAGCTGTGCCTAATTCCAGCCTTTCAAGTCTGCACTAGTGTTGCTGTGAGTTACCACACAGAGCTGGGATGCTGGAGGGAAGGGGCCCTCCTGCTAAATTATGGGGCAGATAGATACTAGTACTCCTAGTAGCTTTAAGGGATGCAGACATGTCTCTAATCAGCTCCCCCTTCATACCTGAAAGCTTTGCATTTGCTGCAATCAAGGGAAATCATATCTTAAATCCCACTCTATTTCTCCCTGTGTCTATGTCTCTATCTCTGTCTCTATTGCTCTCTCTCTCTCTCTCTCTCTCTCTCTCTCTGTGTGTGTGTGTGTGTGAGAGAGAGAGAGAGAGAGAGAGAGAGAGAGAGAGAGAGAGAGAGAGAGAAGCCTCTCTATTTTTATATCCAGAAAGTTCTCAGAGAACTATACAGTGACAATTTAGGTAGAATCCAACATAAAGCCTGGATTATCTTTTGCTTATTTTTTCTTAAAATTTTAAGACCTTCCCTCAGGATGTTGCATGTTTCACTCCTTCCAGAACCCCTCTTAGCTTCCTTTTCCTTCTCTAACTCCTGTAGAAGTATACTTATCACCACTCTCACCATCAGTAAGAGATATCAGTAGTACAGCCATCCGTGGTACATTACAACACCTGGAACACACCTAGGAGGAGTCCAAGCTCCATAAACCACATTTGAATGAACGAGACAGTGAATGAATAGACATAATTATGGGAGAGTCTTGGCACAGAACTGGGCCCCATAACAAGTGACTTTTTTTTTCATTTTTAAATTTGTGTTTTTCTTTTTTTTATGAATTCTTTGAGAATTCTATAAATCTATTTTGATCATATTTACTCCCCTCCCCCGACTACTCCACAATCTACCCCACTTCCCTACCCACCCAACACTGTATCCTCTTTCGTTGTTATGCCCATCGAACTCAGTTTGTGCTACCCTTATGCCGTTGGATGCATGACCTTTCAGTGGAACGTGGTTGACACACCAACAGCCACACCCTTCAAGAAAACTCCCCCTCCTTGTAGCTATCCACTGATAATAGCTCCTCAACTAGGACCGGGACTCCCTGTCCACCTCCCTCTATGCTAGGATTTTGTCTGACATGAGCTTGTATAGGTACTATTAGCACATGCACTGTAAGGTCATATAACTCTTGTCAACCTTACAAAGTTGCTGATGTCCTCCTAATGTCACTGTGAGGCCTCCTACATCCTTCCACACATGTCCTGGGGGGTGATAATAACAAAAGCCTATGTTGGCATCAGACCTGCCTTTCCTGTCTGCCACCATCAGAAGTGCAAAGGGGGATGCTTTTTTTTTTTTTTTTTTTTTTTTTTTTTTTTTTTTTTTTTTAACCAACTTTGACTCTTTACTTTCCCTACTGGATGGAAGGTAACAAGGCACTGGGAAGTCCTTTCTCCTCCACTCTGGACTCAAAAATAACTTTACCTTTTTTTTCTATTAACAGTCTTGACTGTGTATGGCGTCTGAACCACCTGACCACTTCCAGCTTCTGGGACTTCCACATATCTTTGCTATAACATGCGCTGTCATGTTGAATGCGTCTTATTGTACTTCATTTCATTCTTCTTTTACAAGAATTAATATGATTTTATTATGTTGTATGTAGGAGTGTTTTGCCTCCATATATGTCTGTGTATCAAAAGGTGTTGGATCCCCTGGGACTGGAGTTACAGATGGTTGTGAGTCACCATATGGGTGCTGGAGATCAAACCCAGGCCCTCTGGAAGAGCTGCCAGTGGTCGTAAGTGCTAAGCCATCACTCCAGCCCCTCCATCTCATTATTAAATACACTCTCCCCAGAGCCCAGCTCTACAGTTGCTTCCCTGTGGAGCTCAATCCACATCTTCCACTACTGCATCTCTGGTTTTCCATGCAGCACTTACTTCCTTCTGTTACAGTCATTGTTACAGGGTACTGCTGAACTGAACAGACCTCTGTCCCCAATGGATTCTGTGAAGACAGTTCTACATATGGTGAATGGGCATGGAGAGTTCTGACTTGACCCTCAAGCTTATGTTCTAAGTGGCTATAATTCCTGGGTCTTGAGGCTAGTAAGATAGCCCAGTGAGTGAAAAAGCTTAGTTCACAGGGCTGATGGCCCATGTTTCACCTCTGGGACTTGTATTAAGATAAAAGTAAACCTACAAAGGTGTCCTCTGACATTCTCATGCACACCATGACATGAATGTACCCTTACAACACAATAATAATAAATTTAAAATATTCTTGGTTCCAAGGAGTTACTTACTGCCTCCCTCCTCACCATCTGTGATACCTTGGCAAGTCACTACATGACACCATGCATAGGGAATCCCACCTGAAAACAGAGCCTGGTGGTTGTATTTCAATAAACAAAAATAGAGGGTAGTGAGTACAGAGAAATGGATTGTCTGAGGGGAGAACTTTGGACAGATGGACCCTAAAGTCAGCCCTCCATATTTTACGTACTCACATCTGGAGATGTGTTGACAATGAGCCACAAGCTCTTTCAGAATAAGAAGTATAGAAAGGAAACAGTAGTTGGTGGTATTTCTGAGAATGCCCAGAACTTTATTATCCTCATAAATACAGCCAAAAATTCCTTGCATGGAAATTAGCATTTGGATTTATCCACTCCTCATATGTGTGTAGATTTGTGGTCCATGGAAGAATACACTGAGGTAAAGAGTCTTTGAAAAATACATCCAAGGATGTGAAAAAACAAGGCAAATTCTAAAGCATAAAAACAAAATTTACAAAAACTGTTTAAATACTTCACTGTGCTCTGGTAGCACAACAGTTTGTATCTTTTGGGGGAACTTGGGGAGCTTTGCAGCAGAAACCAGGGCTCTGACACCTCATGTCTCAAGCTGCTCCCTCTGACTTCATTAGCATGATGTGGCCTGTAACATGTTGAGGAAGAACGTACACAAGGAGCTCCAAGATTCCCCACAGAACTCCAGGGCAACCTTCCTCTGGTTGAGCACATCTGGATCCTCCAGACACTCTGGATCTTTGATGGCCACAGTCTTGGTCACAGCTGGACTGGGGGCGATGTCCTCTTTGACCTTGTTTGGCTCCATGGAGGAAGCTTCTTGGACCTTATTGTGCTCTCTGCGGGAGACCACTGCTGTCTCCTTCCTGGGCTTCATGTTTCCATGTTCATTGGGGTTTACCAGTCTGAGGTTAGACTCTGGAAACTTCTTTCTGCACACTCTGGTCTTGAGGACACTCTTGGAGTTCCCGCAGATATTCTTCTGTTTGCGCAACATGCGGGCAATTTGTTTCCAGTAGATCTGGTCTTTGTCATGCTTAAGGCATCCAGTTGGATCACCAGCAAAAACACAAGAAAACTCATGATCTGCTTGAGTGCACTGGACCTTCAGGCTGATGCCCAGCTCCTCCTCAGTCACAGCCCATCTGCAGGTGGCTTGGTCTTTGGTAACAAACTTGCCGTGGGTCGTGGATTTGGATGTCTTGCTTCGCTCCTTATTCTGGGCCTTGCCCAAGGGGACAGGCGTACCCTCCTCTGTTATACTCTGTGGTGCATTCTTGGCTTTCTTTCTGACCTTTTCTGAGAGCACCTGAGCAGCCAGGAGAAGGAAGGAGAGCAGGAAGAGGCTGTGGATTCTCATGGCTTCAGCTGGGTGGACACCTGTAATGACAAAGGTGGGTGAGTGAGTGGCAGCAAGCAATGGTGCAGGACTGCAGGCTGCCTCCCTCAACACAAGTTTGCCCACTTTAAGGCCTGGCAAGCAGCTTGGCTGCTCTCGTTCCCTCTTCAAATAAAATTTCAACTCACCCATCACCCTCCTCCATTCACTTAGTTACCCCTGCATTTTCTCGTTCTCATCCCTTTCTAGTCACGCAACAAGCATTAAGTACCAACAACATAACGAAATTCTGAACATTATCACAGTGAGTGAGAAAGCCACAGGTATACAAGGGCAGGTATGTAAATAGCACCAATTAAGAACTTTTTCCTTCTCAGCCCTCAGTTTAATCTTGGAAAAGCCACACTTTCCTCTAGAAATTGAATGAAATAATCACTGACCCATTTTCTAGCTCCAGGGAGAGCTGGATTTCTACCCCATAATCTACATGAGCACCAATAATCAGCAATTGTGAAAGGATGTAATAGGAGTCATAGAAGTGTCATGAAAAGGTATATTGACTCAGAGTTGAACATGCACAGGGTTTGACACACTGGGTTGGGTGGAGCTGTGGGACCAGAGGGGAAAATTCATGAGGAAGAGCTCAGAAAGGCAAGAAGGTGGGGGAGGCCATTGGACTTGACGGGGCCAAGAGAAACAGGGTGGAGAGGGATGAGTTTCAGGTTGTATAGACTGCAAGACTGAAGGTAAGGAGCATGCCTTAGTTCGGTGGCGCAGTGCCAGGCACACAGGAAATATCTATTTACTGCTTTCTTAAAACAAAAATAAAATGGTTTTTCAATGTTGCATTAAGAAACATGGTTTTTATGAGGTAGGAAAGAAAACTACAGGTAAAGGCAGAAGAGAAACCCATGTTTATTTGCCATCTAGTAAGTGTTAAGCAGGGCCCTAGCATTTGATTCTCACCCCCTCTTAATCCACAAAAGAACCTTGCACAGAGCTGTTAATGTAACACCCTAGGTAACCACTGTGACAGTTAAGACTCAGACTGATAAGCAAGTTGCCCAGGGTCCCTTCCTGAACAGAGATAGTGGAGTGGGAAGCCAGAGCAAGTCTCCTTATCATCACTTATTTCTTACTTCTTGCTTTTTCACCTTTACTCTGCTCTTCAGAAAATATTAATAAGAAACAATAAAACAATGAACTGTACAAAGTTTGGTATGGAACCAAATGTGATGACTAAGCAGTTCTTATCATTTATACTTCCAAAAAAATAGATTTTTTTTTCCTGAAAAGTAGGAAAAGTCTAGGAAACGGCCATGAACTCATTTCTGCCTAGGACTCTGCCCACCTGTAGAGCTGGAAAGGGAAAAGGCCCTCAAAGAGTTTGGGCTAAAGCCATGAGTGGTTAGACAGGAGGCTACATAAACCAGGGAGAGACCTGTTGCTCATGCTTTGTGATAGTGCTTTCATGGCTCCAAATTGTGATCCAGATCCAGGGAGGATCAGCAGCTGAGAAGTAGGATGGGTAAAGCAACTTTTAAGAAGGGAGCTGACACGATGGCTCTGAAGATAGAGGCACTTGCATGCAAGCCTGATGACATGACTTCAAAGGAGCCTGAGTTTGATGCCTGCAACCCATGTAAAGGTAGAAGGCAAGAACCAGCTCCCACAAGTTATCCTCTGCTGTCAGCATATAAGCCCCCTGCAATCATACACACAATAAATAATAATAACAATATATATATATATATATATATATATATATATATATATATAAAAGTGAAACACACTTATATGTGTGTGTGTGTGGAGTGT